GCATAAAAACACCGCAATATATTGCACACCTACATGCTCTTACATGTCAAGGTTAAAATAAAAATATAACATGCAGAAACTTTCCTCAAGAAAGTTTGATTCTAGCTTCTAAGTGAAAAAAAACACTGGCGTAATCTGTCCGATTATTTTTGCAAGCTTCAATACATATGATGGTTGCGTTGTCCCAGGGCTGAACATTTTACATCCGCCGCTCGTAATGCGCTGTTGGGGTCCGGGTTTTAGTCAGTACCGCAGTCGTATCTTGTCGGGTCTCGCCAAGTTGCTTGTTGGCAGTCGTCAGAAGTTTATTGTGGAAGAGTCCCAGTAGTTGGCAGTCGTTGAAAAAGATAAATGACCTATTATTTTAGCTCGAAAGTCATTGTAAAGTAAAAAAATTGGTCGATAACTTCAGCGAAAGTCGTTGAAATTCCAACGACTATTGCCACTGTATGAGACCTGGCAATCATATACCTATATTATTTATGAAAGCTTGTCTTGTGGACAAGTTGTGGTTCTAAATTCATAGGTACCTAGCCAGACTAGCCTACTCCTGCATAGTGGCAAAGCAGAGAGTTTTTTATACTCTCCCTCAAGTTCATTTTTGAGTCCTATAAGACAGTAGTATAAGTAGACCAGTAAAGTATCCAGATACCAGCATCATCATACTTAAGCCTACATACTCAAGAAATTGGCTTAAATCTTAAGTAAATGAGGAAATTAATAATGAACTGATTCTAAAAAAGCTCTGGTTTGCCACTAGGTATGCCTACTAGGGTAACTAGGCTAGGCTATATTTTTGTTAGATCAAAAATATGCATACCTAATTCATTAACTGCAATTTGCAAGAGGTTCAAACTTCAAATCAGCCACCATGCATATGCTGCCTATGCCTGAAATAAATTTGCATTTGGAGTTCAAATCTAAATTTTGTTTACGTATTAAATTGCATCACTTGCTTTTTGCTTACAATTAGGCTACGCACATGTTGCTTTTGCAACTTATACAGACACATCATTTAGAGCCTATGAAACTGATAATAACTAAAAGAACAAAACGTTTTTTGCGTAACACAATAACGAAAAATCCATCGAAAGAATTTGGTTTAAAAGACATTTTCGATGGCCTTCAGTTCACAAGCGTTTCTAATAAACTATGTTCAACTACAGCCTTACAGGTACAGCTGACAACCGATACCCAGCTGACTGCATAGAGCGGCTAATCAGATAATAACAAGTTGTTCAGGTAAAGACTTTGCATTGAGACGGGTGAAGGGGATGGTTACCTAACACTTCATAACTTTAAAAACAAATATGTACATATTCTCATCGAAGCGAATATGGAAACTGTTTTGCCAAAATATAGAACGTAGTAAAATTTCTCAATTGATAAACATTTTTGCCGCCCAATGGAAAGACGCAAAAATTCAAAACTATGGAAATGAGTAGTCTCTTAGTAAAATTTTGTATTAGAAAAGAATAACTTGGGGTAAAGTATTGAAAATAGAACATGAAGCAGCACTTGACGTATTCAGTCATTCCCCCAGCTAGCTCAAGTAGGATTCTCTCATTCATAATCGAAATAAACTACTCGTCAATGAAAAATTATACAATAAATCAATTTACAATCAATCATATACTTGACTGTAAATTTTTGTATGGAATCCAGAAATACCAAACTTTAAATTCAGATAAAAACAATTGTAAGCGCTAACTTCATGACTCGCATTTAGCAGAATTTTTCTCCGTTCGTGATTTGCGGGAGCCTCTACAGACTAGTCAACGGCAGAATATTATTTGCGTTATAGTTGCCACAGTTTCTCTCAATCGGTAATTGATGAGGTGTCCAAAGAGAAGTCCTTGTAGACAAGTCTCCTTGTGTTCACAATTGAGATCAGTCGCATTACGCTTCCGATTAGCATGACCAACATGTCTCGTGGAAAAAGCAACATAAAATATTACTAGGAGTATACTATCTGCACTAGTGTTCGGCCGTCGCAAAAAGTTTCTGGTATAGTGAGAATTCAACAAAAAATAAAACTCCGTACTCACTGCAGTTAACGACAGAGAGCGCATTTTCTCGCAGACGAAAATGTGAAGTCACGGACGGACGGACAGACAGACGGACGGACATGGCGAGCACAATAGTGCATGAATTCCATAAATGAGAAAATGCGCTAAAAAGGCTTTGAAAGTACAATTTTTTGAAAACTGTATATTACTTGTCTAAGGTTCCATTTAGAAACAACAATTTTTAAAAAATTGACGACAAGCTTCCTCACCAACAGAAAACTCTGTTTATGTCTCAAATGTTTACGAAAAAAATGAACTATAAGTCTATAAACCATCAGTTTTAATTCAATGATACTACCAAGCACAATAAATCTCATTTTGTTCCAGAAAAATTGAATGAATGCTTTTCCGATACAGAATTTACGCAACAACCACCAGGATTTCCTATTACTTCATATATTTCGTGGAATTTTCAGCCAAGACTTGTGCAGAACTCTTGGCATCCATGAAGAGATCAGCCGCAGTAGCGACGTCTTCGGCAGCGACAGAAGAGCGGCCTGCTTGTCGCCCTAGCACAGCTGAGGGCGTCAACAATCGTACCGCATACCTGATCACATATTGCTAATTAACATCGGGAAATGAGCAGCAGACACCAACACTTTGGATGTATTCAAGGAGCCTTAATCACAGTAATATGGGTAGCAACGGGTCAAGAATTCATTTGTAACCTATTTTTCTTTTAATACAAATGAATGAATTTAAAAATGAGTATATACACAATACAATATGAAAATATGTTTATATATAAACTCCAGCAAATGTAAACAAGTGATAATAATTCCCAAGTTATTTGACGCCGCGCGTGCGAAACCCTGGTCCATTTTGAAGTAAATGAAATGCCAGGCATTACCTGAGGGAGGTGTTCTCTGCAATCTCGCTGAGATTACTAAGGGCTTGGTCATCGATTGTGATGCCTTCCGTAGCGGCGCGAATGCGGATGATTTCCATGACCTCAGCGCTGCTGTAGGGCTTCATACGCACCATCAGTAGCCTATCGAGCAAGTCTCGTGGTATGCCATGGGAAGACACGATGTCCGTTGTCCCTCTGTAAAAACATGCAACGAGGGAAATAATGAATGATTTATTCATTGGAGCTTTCAGTGCACTTGCGTGCATAGCAGTCATATCAATGCACTAACTGCCGACTCAGACATCATTAATTAATAATTATGCATAGCATCATTAATCCTATATATATATATATATATAAATCTAGCTACCCATTATACAGTAAACTAACATAGGCGTTATTGTGTTGTAATGTCGAAACGGTGCATATTGGCTAAATTGTGAACATACAATTAATTCATATTGAATGCTACACGTAGATTTTATATATAAGGATTTTATTTATATCAATATAAGTTGCAGTGCAGACGTGATCATTTGCAGCTCTATTTTAAATGATGGCTTACGAACTGAAGCCCATTACGTGCATTACGTAACAACTAATTATGAGCATAAAAAGAAGTAATAGCAGGGAAAACTTACAAGAAATTGTGTAATCAGGAATGGTGATGCAATAAGAGCTGCCTCACCTAATAATGCATCTTCCTCTGTTGGTAGCGAGCACAACTATAGGAGCTATCCTGCTCTCGAGTGCTCGGTGCAGGTAAGTGAAGCACTCCATGTCCAGCATGTGAACTTCGTCAATAAATAGAACACCAGGCACTAGTTCTGCAGTGCCTTGCTCCAAATACTTGTCAACAACCTTATTGATTTCCAGACGAAGTTTTTCTGCACAGTACGATAAAAAAAGAACACAAATAAAAATTTACAATAAATGCCAATTAAAATAAAAAGTAGAAAATAAAATACTTTAAAAAAACTTTAAAAAAAAAACGTTTTTCTTGTGGACTAAAAAGTAGAAAATAAATTATGGTTCACCCCAAAAAAACGTGTGTCGGGCAGATTTATGATTAAAGCGAAAAGCACACAACACTTAAATTTTGGAAATTTGATGGTGAACGTACAGCACGACCCACGTTTTTTTGGGGTGAACCATAATCTGTCTCTTATACACATCTAGATGTGTATAAGAGACAGGCATTGGAAAATGGGAAACCTTCCTATTCATTTTGAATGAATGGAAGCATTCTATGCTAAAAATTAAATTGTATTCTGCCATGATTGATTTATCATCAGTATTGTCCATTATGAATACGTATTATCCATTATGCATAACCTTGCTTGATTTACTATCGGAAAAAGTGTTGTTTGAAGAAACGTTAGGTTAATGCCGAGCGGTTCCATTTGGAACCAAGCTATAATTTTTCACATACAACGAAAAATAAATATATGAACATATTTTTTGTTTATTACCGTCACAAATGATAATATTCTCACAAGGAACCAAAAAAAAATTCAGTAAATAATTCTCGTCATTAATGGGTTAACAACAAACAAACAAATAAACAAACAAACAAACAAACGCGAAGCTAAGCTAAGAAAAACGTGTTAATGAGGATCCTTGTAAATTGGCCGTTTTGGTTCTGATTGTTTTCCAAGTTATCAGGATAGTACAGCCAGACACATGCAGATCAGATGCTAAACTTTTTTAACATGAACACATTTTCATCAGTCAAGACTGACATTTCCAATAGCCCATCAGTAAGATAGCCAATAAGCCTTTCAACTTATTATTCATAGTATTTTTGTTATATTAATTAAAAAATAGTTTTTTTCTCTCTGTATTATTAGGCTTAAATTTTATTCAGCTAAGAGAACAGTGCTAAATATTCTTTGCTGCAGTATTATGTCAGCTTCAAAATTAAGAAAAAGATTAAAATTGCTCACCTGTAATTTCAGTTTTACGGGGTTTCATAAGCTGAGCCATCATGCTGAGGGCACCCTGACCACCTTGAGGCTGTGCATTAGCAATGTCCAAATCATGGAGGCTTACGTCCTGAATAACTTCCTTCTTCTTGTGTACATCACCTTTGGGCAGCGCCACATACTCTTCCGCCTGGAGAAGAGCACAGTTATAAATCAGTATTCTTTCAGAAATTGAAATTGACGCGGTTGTGGAAGAAATTTCAAGACATAAAAGTATGTCTCTTCTTGGTCAATGTGACGTTGAATATTGATTCTATCTGAATTTGTGTTGTGTCACGAAAATTTTTGATTCAACAATACCATTGACTCCTTGATGGAATAAAAGCACGCATCTCATTTGCAGAAATATTGAAATATACAGGAATTTACATGCAATGTTACCTAGTAATCAAGCATTGCACCTTTGACATACAAAATTTTTAAAAAATTTTAATACTGATATTTTGCAAATCTAATGCAAGATGATGAACTGGATAAGTAGGTATATATGTAGATGACATTAAAATGATAATTGACAAGTCCCATAGAAGCATGAGACTTCAAAACGTATCAGAGTAACAAACCTCAAGATCAAATTCAGTAGCATAAGCATCACTGCGGCCTTGTCGCTTGACGGCACCAGAGTTTGCTTCTATATATATGACGTCTCCAGTCTCCACACGCTCCCTCTGCAGTGTCTCATAAATGCTTGGGTCTAATTTAAGTTGTTTAGTACCTTTAGCAGTTTTTAATCCAATGATAACTTCACTGATGGTTTTCCCATAACCTGTATGAAAACAAAAGAGGAATTTAAACTTGCAGTGCTATTAATCATATGAAAGTAGTAAGTACCATAATATAAGAATGAAGATTAAGGCATCAATAAGAATATTAAAATGAGCATACCTCCCATTGGATTCTCAGTGTGCACAGGTGTGAGCTCAATAACCTCTCCTTCATACACTTCTTTCACTTCTCTGATCCGCAAGCCAATGGCACGGCGAAAGTTCTCCATTAAAACTTCAGTCTTCTTCACTTCTGAACTGTAAACTTCTGACCCTACCATGGGGCAGAACGGCACCTGTAAACAAAATTATTTCAAGACTGAACACGCAGTATCAAGGAACCTTCCAGTTGGACAGGCAAATGAAATAAAATAGGACCATCAACCAAATGAAGGAAACATTTAATGATATACGGTATTTTACTTACTTTAGTCCCCAGCTCCTGAGCAATGGCCATGGCAATGGCTGTCTTGCCCGTTCCAGGAGGCCCAGCAAACAACACAGCTCGACCAGACATTTTTTTGGATCGGATCAAGTCTACAATATATCCAGCAGCCTGCACAATGCAAATACTTTCAATAAAAAGTCCATAACATATACAAAAGAATTAAAAATTGCACACAATTAGAATTTATTTGAAACTAACATCATATAGATTCAACACAAATACAAAATTCAATAGTAGTCACTTAAATTATTTAATGCTGATCAATTATCAAGACATCTTTCACATGGAAACTGACAGGAGTATCCATTTATTAAGTCTGCATGCTTTTTCAAAAAGTTATGCTATAATTGTAATGGATAAACATGTTTAACTAAGAAGGTTTCATCATCATAAATATGCCAAGAACTGACCTCTCTAGCTTGACATTGGCCAACCAAGCCAGCAGCAGATGGTAAGGCCGTGCCATCCTCTTTCAAGCCGAGCCCTCGCACATGAGAGTGTGCACTCACCCTCTGGTTCCGGGTGGTGCTCTTTACTTCTTCTATTCTCATGATACCTTATGAAAAACTGTTAAATTGAGTATTGCCTCTGGGGGAAACCAAAGAAATGTTATGATAATTGTAATAGTAATTAATATTAGGATCATGGACAGTAAAAAGTTTGACAGTTAAAGATGGACTACAAGAACACATTCTTCTAAACTTGCTGGTAAATAATTGAACTGGAACAATGAAATCACAAATAACCTGAATAAAAACCATAATGCAAATTGAGAATGATCAAAAAAGAGACTTACGCACACAAAAAGCAAATTTATATTCTGTTTCATATGAATCTATCAAGCAGAAAAATAGTAGGTTAAAATGGCATTTAGAAAAAAAAATAGTCAAAAATCTCACTAAATTCATTTTATAATATTTTAGAATCAATGTTGGGGAATAAGTACTTCAGAAACTGCATTCATTAGAAGCCAGATGGTTGAATAATAGAAGAGGCTAATTAAGCTTCATCATGGTAGTTGGATTTATTGCTATTTTTCATCTGCACCGATCATGAACTATTCTAGTCTATATTGATCATTTGTCACAAGTTCTATTGATTGCTAACCTAGTATGCACCAAAGGCATTCTTTGTAGATTGGAATTCAAGAGATGATGGTGATTGGTTTTTATATATATTATAGATTGATTATTATAGATTATATTATAGATTCATTGATAGATTAACCGCCACACCATAGCAGCAAGCAACTTTTTTGTTGACCTCTTATAAGAACTATAAGCAAACCAGTAGAGGTAAGTAGCATTGAATGGAATATGGATACCAGCCAAATTTGGAATTATGAGCAGAAGTTTTCAAAAATTGTGGGTAAAAACAATGGTCTCACAGGTTTCAAAAACTGCCAGTTAAAATAGGTAATTTTTCTTATTTACATTGAACAGATTGGGAAACGCAATATGAATGGGATAAATTGGCCAGATTCAAAGGCATTCTTGTCTGACTAAGAGGTGGCTTCTGCCAATTTTCCCACATAGGATACCAGCAAAGGCAGTGATAACATTAACATACATAAGATATTGAACAAAATCTTGCCAGAGATCAGGAAATTAGAATAAGCTGGTCCCCATAACAATGTCCCAAACTGGAAAATGAAGCAAAAGTTGTCCTAAATAAGACAAAAATGTCCATGGCAGATAGAGAGTCGCAGCCAGTAATTGAAAAAGACAATAATTAAAAAATATCAAGCATTCAAAATGTATCACTACTATTTCAAACTTCTTTTCTTCTTTCTCTGCAGGATGTCCACACTGGGTGGACTTGAAGCCCCAGTTCTGCCAGAAGCCCAGAAGGATGACACATGACTGTTGGGCTTGAGATTTAGAGCTTGTGGCCGGTGAGGTTATAACCTCCAGGATGTGAATTTTAGAAGGTAGGCAATATCTTCTCATGAGTGTTCAGTAGTTGACATGAAACTCAGTGCAGGATCATATGGGAATTAAGAGAATAAAAGTATGAGTAAATTGGTCTGAAGTGTAAGCTCACTTCACTTGTGATAAAGCATGAGGGAAGAAGGGGTTGCCAGTGCAACACCCCTGCTCACTCTAAACAGTCAAAAGATACATCTAGATGGCTCAATTTGCTTACACTATAAACATAAAATAAATGAAACTAAGGTTCTTAATCAGGCACATGTCAGACATGCATTATGATGCATACCTACATATGTACAGTGCAGCCATGGTTAAATTCTCTAGTTAATATATGAAAGAACTTAGTATTTTGAGATTTTGGACCAATCTAAATACTTGCGGTAAGACAGGACCGAAATCACTAACAAGCCTGTAGCATCTATACCAAGAATAAATAAAAACCCTAAACCTATCACAAGATGTATATATGCAATGGGCTTCTGAGCTACAACTCAGAAGTTTTGCATCTAACATAGTTTTCTGTACAAATTAAAAAAAGTGAACTGGTCCTATCTTACCCCATTGGGGTAAGATGGGACCAGGCATGGGGTAAGACAGGACCAACTAGCAATTCTTATGTTACAAGGTTTTTAATAAAAATACAAATCTGATATTCAATATTATCAATCTAGAAACACATTATTTGATTAAACAACCACTTGTTACTGTTTTGTGTTGCGGAAAGTCAACTCTAATATCAGTCACATTGGAGTTTTTGTCATGAGAAAACTTTGTTAAGCATAGTAATAGTGTGTTGGCTTTGGTTCATTGTAGAGCACTGCTAAATGCTTCATGTATATTCCATTAGTGTCATTGTCTGAAAATTTATCAAATTGGTAATAAAACCAATGGAAAATAACTTAAGTGTCAGACGTCATGTGTTTTCTTGCTAACTGCATTTGTGGTGCACTTCTTCTAATGTAGCCCATGCCCTCTCACAGAGTTGTGATAATAATTATTTTTCATGTTTCACACAATGATTTTTCCCCCAGCCAATCTTGAACATAGTTCTGCAGCTCACTAATGGGAATAGACATTCCAATTTTCTATATCACTTTGATGCAATTTAAAATAGTGCACTAAATTTCTCTAATTAAAAAAGCTAACAAGCTATAATGAAGTTTGAGCCATAGACAAAATTTTTGACCAAAATACTCTATGTACTGCACCATAATATATTCATTTAAAAACTATTTTTGACAAACTGTACCTAGGGTAATAGAGGACCATTTGTGGGGGAAGACAGGACCATTTGTGGGGTAAGATAAGACCACTTGTGGGGTAAAACAGGATCATTTAGTGGTCCCGTCTTACCCCATGTCCAGTCCTTTTTTACCCCATTTTAGAATACATGTCAGGCAGTGATGGTGGCAGGTAGGAATGCCTAGTACCTATGTTTCAAAAGTTGCTTATTACTTGTGGTTACCTGCCTACATCCACAAACCTGGCCAAAACATTTTTTGTCATTAGACAGAGCTTATTTCCCAAACAGGGTTAACTATTTTGTGACCCTTCTTTACATAGGTTTTCTTCAAAAATTAGCCAGAAATTCATTATTTGCAGAAGAGGGTTGCCACAAACACTGAAATGACAGGCAATGATTGCTCTAACATATTCTTTTGTCAAATTAAATTCAGTGCAATTAGAATACACACCATGGGCTGGTCCTTTCTTACCCCATGAAGGCTGCGATCCTGTCTTACCCCATTTGACTATATATATGGCTTGTCATAAAGTATCATGGCAAGATGGTGTCACACCATTTTGCCTTGAGCAATTAAATTAAAGTGCATTGTCTGACAGCAACCAGCAAGCTCCCAACTCTCTTGTTGTCATAACTTAGTTAACTGGTGGTTTGTACAGCATTGATGGATTTTGCTACCTACATAAGCAAATACTTGGAGAAAATGTTGACTTTGCCATTTTCAATACTACAACATTGACACTTGTCATGTTACACTTTATTCTGAAAATGACATTTTAAAATCATTAATTTTTATATTATTCATTAGAAGTTAACTTTACATTGAATATAAGAATTTTAAGTAACCATTTGTCTTTGCCCAGTGCCCCAGTCCTGGTCTGACCATTTGCACATTGTTGTGCAAACCAAGACCGGGCCCCCTTTTCCAGAAGCAATAAGTACTGCTACTCCTAGAATTGCTGCAATTGCACAAACTACCAAGCAAGCTTGGAAAACATCTACCTTCAGTGCTGCAACTAAATCTTTCCTGCCATTTCCAGAACCATGAGATTACCACCAGACAGGGTTGGCAATGATCAAATCAAACTGATTAAATCATGTGACGCTTAGCTAATTCTTATAAGGCTATAAGTAGTCATTAACTATTTGACTATTTGTTATATATTAATTACATTATACAATTACATGTGTTAGCTACCTTGTGTAAGAAGGGTAGGTTGAGATTGTATTGACCTTTTAGGCATTTTGAAAGATTGTCACCCTAATATGAGTATTCTAATTAATATATTTAATTTCAATCTTCAAATATGAGAATTTATAACTAGAAACAAAACATTTGCAATTACAAAACTATATTGAAAATAATTAAATGCAGTGAATGGAAATAAAATTTTAGAATTGTGTACATGTTCATTTCAAACAGTTTTAGCTTTTCTCATAACATAAGTCTCATTTCAAGTCGTTTGAGGTTTGTTTGGTTGTCATTCAGTTTATGTTTAGTAATGGTTTATTAGTCTGAATCAAATGGGAACAGTGCAGTCAGTCACTCCATCACTACTAGTCTGTGTGTTTAGAGGGTAGAGTCTGGTAGATTTATAGGACATAAAACTAGTAGATCTATTGATAGTGCTGTGCACTGTTGTCTGTGCAATCAGCTACCTATCTGTTACGGGACTCTTCAATGTAAAGAAGATCTGCATTCCTGAAGTGTTGTTGTATATTGAAGTCAGTGTAATGGTCAATATTTAGCTCATTACCTTGCTCCATACAAACTTAACAAAGCTAATGAATAGACTTATTATCAATAATTGTTTACCCATTAATCCCAAAGTGATAAACACCACCTTGGCCATTCTTGAAGGCAATAACTGCCCTTTTTAGCCTTCCATATACTGCTATTGTTAGTAGGCTAACTGCAACATAAAAAATAACATTTCAAAAAGACAAGAAAGCTGAAAATATACAAAAATCTAGTAAATAAAAAATCATGAAATAATAAAAAAAATATTTTTTTTTTTGAAAAAATAAAAAAAAATCACCAACCCTGCCACCAGATGAATTACCTCCAAAAGTGCATGATCAGGCCACAAGATTCCAAATGTAATAAAAATTTGTCATGTTTGCGCCGCGAGATTTCAGAAACAAGTAGGAACACTCCTATTCTGCTACCAAGTACCAAGCAGTCAAGGTTTGAGAAATCTAGCCTAGGTTCTTCTATAATGAGTGACAAGGTCACTTAAAATATTTCTTTCTGAAATTCAGAGACTAGTTCAAAATCAAATGACTCAAGAACAATATTAAGCCCATGTTACAGCCTTTTTTTTTTATTGAATTTCTAATTTTTTTTTAATCCAAAATATAAAAAGTCTGTTCAACTATTTAAGTTATTTGAAAATGAAAAATATTTCTCCCAATTCCTAAACTACCATACTTGATTAATTCATAGTGACCAACCAGAGAATTTTTAGAATCTATCCTGTCCCATCCATTTTTAATTTCTGTATTTAGTCAAGATATAGAAATAAACCAATATCTTATGTATGATAATGCTGCTTATTTGCTGGTATCCAATATCCATGATATTTTGCTGATCTACTGCTTTTACATGTAGTAAGTTGTAGCTTGTAGGACTAAAAATGAACTACCTATACAGCAATCCCTTGATAAGCACGGTTTTGAATACCGCGGTTTTGATTACGTAACGCGGAAAAAAAAATTGCGACCTACCCTTAATCTACGCGGTGCCAGTTTTAATTAGCGCGACTTTTTTTCACAACGCATCATTTTCCCGCCTCTAGCCAGAGGTGTTACGTTCGTAACAAAAGTATTACTTTTTGCTTATTAGATCTTATGTTGTTACTTTTGTTACAACTTTTGGAAAAATTCACCAAATGTTGTTACTTTATGAATTTCAGCCAATATTCTTTAAATAAGGTCCTGTTCCGTAGGCACTCGTGCTGACTACAGAGTCGGTTTAACCGCGCCTTGTCTCGTTCATAACTTGAATGGTCGAGTTCGGCAACGTTCGCCGGTAAGTGCGCCATGCCGGTGCTCTAGTTACTCGTTAGCCTTCCACTGGTCAAGATCGCTGCCATATCTACTGCTCATTTTTATCAAACTACATAATTTTCCTTGATAAATTACAAAAAAAATATGATGAATTTTAGTGGAAAAAAAATTATTATGTAACTTTGCTATTTTTGAGGATTCATTATAATTATTCCCATATATTCTTAAGTTTGATTAGCATGGTTTTGCTTAACACGGTAAAACTTGGGGATTTATTAACCGCGTTAATCAAGGGATTGCTGTATATGCTATAGGTTGATTCTGTATATTGCATAGGGCATAGATATAGTCTAATTAATAAGAGTCTACTTTAATTTTATGAATTAATCAAATGCAATAACATCATTTTACCTAATCCAAGCAATGTCTTAAATAGAATGTTTTTAATTTAATCAAATTTTATTCATCTTGTATATATACAAAATCCCTCCTGCTTTCAAGATTTCTGCCTTCCATTAACAGTCCCACACACATTTTATCCACAGTCACACTCTCACATTATAACACATAAGTTGTAGGACTAAAAATGAAGTAAAGGATAGGTTGATTTTACCATAGGCATAGGGCATAGATATGTCTAAAAAAGTCTACTTTGATTTCATGAATCAATCAATTGCAATTAGCCTACATCATTTTACATGATCCAAGCAATGTCTTAAATAGAAGAATGTTTTCAATTCAATCAAATTTTATTTATTTTGTATATATACAAAATCCTTCCTGCTTTCAAGACTTCCGCCTTCCAGCTTCCATTAACAGTCACACTCACACACACGTTTTAACCCCTTCGTAACTGCAATGTGTTCTACAACTTTTTTTCATATTTTTCTACAGAATCATCATGAACTTGGATTGAATATTGCATCTCAGGGGTAGTTTACATTCATTAAAAGTTAGCAAGCTCAGCCGCAGCGTGAGGGAAATTCCATTCGAGGAATGCAGCGTCACTTCGAGGGAATAGGCTTAACTGTGGGCAACGGCTCCCTATATAAGGACCTCAAAATTGGCGCCAAGGGTTGTTGGTTCTAAGGAGGTGACTGTCACGCAAGCACGGTCTGCTGTCAGCAGACTTTGCAACAGCCACGGCCGTGAGGCTGGCGGCTTTGACGTTTTTCGAACATTGAAACCTGCAAGAAACCTAGACTCATTGAGGCAGCGACGATTTCTGAACGCACGTCTAAAATCTACAAAGTATGATCGACATTAACGGTACGGTTGCTACTTGGCCGTAAGGCAATGCGAGAGGCGAGGAGACGTTCTACAATTATAATGTCGGCAATGCGAAGACTCAAGTTTTCAAGCACCAAGCTTTATACCAGGAATTATCTTCAGTATGGTCTACACTCTACAATACGAGACGGTCACTATTTGCATTAGAAGAAGTGGTACGGTTACAGTCATCTTCAACTGCCCAAGCACCGCATTGAGCCCGAAGTAACATCATCGACGATGAAGACTATGCCACTATTCTGAAGTACAGTCAACCTATGGCCAGACAGGCCCAGACTGGTCACAAGGCAATGAAGGCATCAATATTAGCATGACACGACGGTTATGAAGAACAGCGATCACGAGGATGCGCGGCTACAGCGGCAATACGACCACTTGGAATATGGCTGCAAAGTGCAAACGTGCGGCTACAGCCATAGTGGCAAAGCAGAGAGTTTTTTCCTCAAGTTCATTTTTGAGTCCTAGGCTATATGTAGACCATTAAAGTATCCTGGATACCAGCATTATCATACTTTAGAAATTGGTTTAAATCTTGAGTAAATAAGGAAATTAAAAATGTACTGATTCTAAAAAAGCTCTGGTTTGCCACTATGACTACAGCTGCGGAAGGGTCAGTGCATCTATGGCTGTAGCCTGTAAGTTGTAACTAAAGTGTGTGTGTATTATACTGTGGAGAGTCTAAAAAAACTCTCTGCTTTGCCACTATGATTATATTTATAGTCGTTTGCAACAGACGTACGGCTGAACGGAACTGCAATTTATAACGTGTAAGTGGTAAATAGAGGAATTTTTGTGATGTAAACTGATAGGTTCTCAAATTTGAATGTGTTCAAATTACATTTTTCATGTACTTGAGAAGTTGAGATTTTTGTTAACGTAGGATGTGAACTTGAATTTCTCAATTTAATATGAAATGTGTCAGTGTTTCATTACAAGTTACAACCCTCTCTTTGTACTATTTTGCCAAAACCTTTTCATACGAGAACCTATTCCCGGGATTCCCGTGCCGTTACTGACCACTGCCGCACTGCAAGGCAAGCCCAACCTGACGAAATTAAAGCGATTGTTGATAGAATAACAGTAATCATAGCTAATAATAGAGAAAAATCTCAAAACTAACTTAAAACTTAGAAACTCCCAATTTAGTCAGAATAATATCACAAACTTCCTTTGGCCAATGCGTGTAGCTAACAGCTTATATAATAACATATCCCAAAAAGAACAAATATCTAATAATATTCTTTCAGATTGGACATGTCACACACATACTATTTTTAGGTACTATGTACTAGTATGTAGGAGCAGCCGAGCAGGAGTATTTCTTATATGTCCCTGTACCTGTAGTTAGCTATGCCTTGAACTTTGAAGGCTCGAATTTGGCGCTAGGCCTACTGCCTACATGCAAGACTTTATAGAGTAAATCGTTGGGCGAGACGTCACTGTCGTCACAGTACTCCCGTCAGTCAATTACTTTTCAGTTGACCTGCGCAGCCTAACAAAGTAGGCTCATGTGTCCCTTTAGTTAGCTATGCCTCGAAAGGTATGCTGTATGCAAGTTATGGAGTTGAACATTGAGCGGGATGTCGGAGGAGTCGGTGCAACAACCCAGCGCCATGCACTCGCGATAATAAACACACGCGCTTTGGAAATTTGGAATTGATCGTTGCTACGGGCAACGAACACATTTTGCGCAAATGTATTAAAGAAAGTAGGAATTTACATTATTATGTAGTAATTTGCAATATTCCTACTTTGCCGGGCAAATAAACACAAAAATCAAGAAGCTTTAGCGTGTGGTTGCGAATTATTTATATCGCGTTTTATCATGTGCATAGTTGAAATGAACCTAATTAAAATTTTGTGATACATAACTTCATCGAAGGTAATGAATATTGTATTAGTTGGATCAAAATAATTTTTGCGCCGAAGTTGCTCAGCTTTCATGCAGCGCCTTGAGTTATGTTACTGCTATACCTATTCAAGCATGCACACGCAGAATTTGCCAAACCATGGTTGAACTTTACCGTCAATGGCACTAAACTCTAAAGTCGCCATGCTACAGGGAATATGAAATATTTATTCAACTTAAGGTATTGACGGTAGGTAATATTATTATCAATATTCAATTCAACCATGGTTTAGCAAATATGGTTTGGGATTGTCTTCATTATTAAATTTAGGGTCATATAATTATGAATATAATTATATGAAATTAAACTCAACTAATATTCCATGAGGAGACTTGTGTAGCATTGACGGTAGGTAATATTATTATGAATACTAGTCGAGCTAAAATTTATAAATTAAACCGATGTATTAGTTCTTCTTCGTTGTCTCCTATTTGCCGAAGCGAAAAAATGACACACACGGTCAGAAATAAATGAATTTTTCAAAGAAACGTATATTTTGTAACATACGAAGGCTCTTGAAGTTGGTCGCCACCACATTAGCGGCTTAAGCACTTTTCATAGAAGCGATAGAACAGCTCCCCTACCTACCCCTCACCAATTAGGATACCAGTCGCAGGGAGATTGAAGGTCTGTTTATAGAATAGCACCAGGTCATCATGGAATGGACAGTTCTTTAATTTCTATCTCACAACTCGGCTAAGATCGAATCAGGGACAGGAACTTCTCGGGTATAATTTAAACACGCAAGACCTTTACATAAGAAAACAAGAACGGTCAAGCATATTTTCAGTAAAAAAGAAATTTACAAAGAATTAATTCACAAAATTATACCTCAGGAAAATGAAACGAAATTGAGTAATGCTTAACATTAACATCTTTAAAAATACAATTGATAGCGCGGGTTGTCTTGCGATTTCCTAAAAACGACGTATAACAAAGCCCGCTTCATTCAGAGAGAGTTGTATTGCTGAGGACGGAAGCGCTTTGCGTCAACAGTAAAAATTCAGTCGTTGGCTCTCGGTTTCTCCATGAGAGCGTGAACTTTGGCGCGTAAGCCCTGGAATACAAAAAAATGGCTCTGATGGTATGTACATACTTACGTCACTTAAACATTTTAAAATTAAAAATCGTATGAAAACGCATTATTCTGGTTAGGAGCGGTATCATTCGATTTGAAAACCCCCACTGCGCCCAACCTACAAGCTATCAAGTGCAAGAATGTATTTCATCTTCTTGATAGAAGCATGGTTTCTGTGGATTCAGAATTTAAAAAAATCGACTACAAATGGTGTTTAAACCCACACTGTGTAATTTTGCACCATGACGCAGAGATGCACCAAGTAAATGCAGGATCTCTGGTTTTACGAAATGCTGAATTAACGGCACTCATTGCATATCCGCTAACCTGTGTAATTCTGGCAACGGCGGAGCTGCTCTTCAAATCAAAAGTCGTAGGCAGAGGCAGTTTGGGGGCAGGAGGAGGGCTCGTCGCTGGAGTGCTGGAAGCGGCCTCAGGAGGTCTCGTCTCAGAAACAAGAAATGCTTCTCTGGACGAACTGCGTGCAAATAAGAAAAATATTGACAAAATGTCTTAGAGCGTCAACTGAGATGTCGATAATTCAAATATATATTCAATTGAGTGATGTTTACATATTCGAAAGAATCTAGGTTTCCATAGAAAAGTAAACTAAATTAGACGGCTCTTCAAGAGCTCGAATCATTCCGTGATGACTGATGACGGCTTCTCAAGAGCTCGAATCATTCCGTGATACATCAAATACGAATAGTGCAACCTTCTCTAATGTAGACAACATTGACCTGGAAGCTCTAGAAGAGGCGGTGGTAACAGCAGCTGTGGGTAGCGGAGCCAAGGTCCTCGGGACACTCATCACGCTGGAGCTGCTGCTGTCACTCTCTCTGTCAATACACATGGAATTCAGTTTATAATGATTGCAGTTAAATATATAAACAAATATACAATAGAATAAACACGTAAAACTAGAAATGTATGAAAAAAATACTACAGGATACTCAACTATAAATTAAGAAGCTAAAGGTTCGTAATGCTTTAACTATTTATGCCGACTGACATAATAAAAGAAATTAGCAACATTTATATTAAAGCAATTTGCTACTCTTAAGTACTTGCCAGATGTTGAATAGGAGGTTTTACGAACTAAATAAAAACAAAAACCCGATGTAGATATTGATTTCAACCGAATCAACTACCATGATGAATGGCAACTGGAAAATCCTCCTCAAAGATTCCCACATTTGACACCAGTTCTTGTATAGATGAAGATACGAGTGAACATTATCTATGATTTTGATTGCAAACACATTTCACTCTTAGCTTTACAACAAGGATCAATATAAATGAGAAATAATAAAAGAAAATAAATGTGCATAACATTAGGTATGAACGTACTCGACTGAATTAAAATGAACAGTCGCTGCAATACAGAAACATAAAATAGTATATGCAAGTAACGGAGAAAATAAGGCGACCTACATCACTTGGATATCGTCTCCACTCTGTGCGTCTTTGTCTTCACTTCGCCTGTCTCTGTACTTGTACGACCCAGAAGATTCAGGCCCACTAGATGACCGACTATACGACGAAAATTCATCGTCTGAAGAAGAAGAGGAGACTGAAGCGTTACGATGACTACGAGAAGCTTTCTTGTTCTTGCTTCTCTTGCTTGATTTGGACTTCTTCTTCTTGCTTTTGCTCTTTTTTTTAGACGAGGAGTGCGCTGGTTTCCGGCTGGAAGAATGATCGGAGTGATGACGACGTTTCTTGTGATGTGAAGATCGCTCGTGACGATGGTGCTTGCGCTTACGTTTCTTAGAGCTTGTTGAAGGGGAACGTTCAGAGCTGGCGGAGAGGGAGCGTTCGCGGTGTTTGCTGCTCCTGACAATGCACACATGAAAACAATACATTAGTACTGGAAAAATACCATAATCTAGAGTTTAATAAATAGCTATTTAAACCCAATGCATAGCATTGTCGTTTGATGGTCAGCACAAGATTAACCACGAATACTTGTTGATTGATTGAAAAGTTATCTTTGTTGAAATAAAATAAAGAAAAGAAAAAGGACAAGCCACAAATCCATAGACAATGTGGTTGTTACAACTTACTTGCGTTTCTTGACTCTAGATGAACGCGAGCTGCTGCCACGACTGAGGGAGGATGCGAAGGGGCTTGAAGCAATCCCACCACGAGTCGCGGTTTCATCTGTAAAAAACAAAAGCCTGAGCAATGATTGAAATGTTTCATCTCTGATAAACAAAAATCCTGAAAAACGGATGTATAAACTGAAAACATACCAAGCATTTATCTATTAACCTTTGAAATATATATAGAACCTCTAAAATAGTTTTAAATTATTTGGTTGTTATGTGCTACTGGTAATGAAAATCTCATAACAGATACTTAACGAGTGAAAAGAATTTTGGTTACGAGTCGGAGAATGTATGTGCCTCGTTTGGTTGGAAGATGAGCGAGTCTTCTATCGCCATAAATACAATTGAAAAACTTTTCTAATAATGTCGCTGAACTAAATGATTTCATCGACTGTAGTTCGATGAAGGACTGATAAAATGAAACCACTACTTGTCAACAAAGATGCAATTGCTGATAACTCACCTGCCAACAACGTACCTGCAGCTGCAACAAATGTTCTTACATTTATCGGTGAGAAATATTTGTAATCTGGAAATTTTCTGTCATTTCAAACCCCGGTAAATACTTGCAATACCGTTGCTTTCCGGTGGCCTCGAGTTTTATATGACAATTTTTTTACACGCTTGCCAGATATTCTTGGCTTAAGCGCCAATGAAGAACTAAGTCTTTAGCTCCTGCATAAATCGTGCCGTTTTCACTGCTGCAAATGCCGAGGATAAACATCTGTAGATTTTGATAAATCTCAAACGGAAAATAGTTCGTAGGGCAGACTCACTGCCTCAACGTGACCACTCAGGTGACGAGGACAGCTTCTCCAATCAAAGAACGTGTGAAGGCATTCAAAGCTCGCCATAATTGTGCTCGTGAATGTAGAAATTTCGACGCCGAAAAATAAATTAATGCCAGAAATGCCACTGCGGCTATAAACCTGACCAATCGAGATGAGATCGTTATCAAAACAGCTGCAAGGAAAGCGGGATTTTTAGTAAGGAACCTACAAAAGAACCAAGTCAATAGGAGTACAGAAGCTTCCTCGCTTCTAAATTGGCATATGAGAAGTGAAAATTTTATCCCCAAGTCACTGTCAACGGAACACGAGCTCATAAGCAATATCAGCTGCCTGAATAGGATCTCAACACATCAATATTTTTTGATTGAAGACGGCGACACATTTTCATATTCAATACCAAGTAAACAAATTTCCAGTGTGGCACCTTCAGTATTAAGAATCAATAAGTCTGGAAAATTAATAATGAATATTTAATTGACAAGACATCTCTGCTAATCCTATCAGAATTTTCGAAAAAAGTTGTTCAAGTACGTAAGCGACACTAAACAACAGAGAGTCAGATATCCATGAACCACTCGCAACAATTGCGTCAAGCACCCTGATAGTACAAACTTCAGTTGTCTGGCTAATAATCCCCAGAATTAGCCAACAATCTTCAGAATTAGCCAACAATAGCCAGAATTAGCCAACAATCGTCTGAATTAGCAAACCATGTTCAGAATTAGCCATCAATCGTTCGAATTAGCCAACCATAGTCGAAATTAGCCAACAATTATCCGAATTAGCCAACCATGGTCAGAATTAGCCAACAGTCGTCAGAATTAGCCAACCATGGTCAGAATTAGCCAACAGTCGTCAGAATTAGCCAACCATGGTCAGAATTAGCCAACCATCACCAGAGTTGGCTGACATTGGTTACGGCGGCAGCTGCGAACAAAAGAAATGTTAAGAAGAACGCAGGTTGTGGAGGCGACGCAAAAGCGTACCTCCTCTCAGCAAGGGCGGCAGCTGAGCCCTCCTGACACAGCGTGGGCCATCATCATCATCCTCAGGGGCACGCAACTCAATAACTGCCTCAACCTGTAATGACAATCAAGAACATCATAGACAACCATAACGTCACCGACAGTGGGCGCGCGAAAGTGTTCAATTGTTACACGTTCGAGCACCAAAGCCGGAGATCATATTTTTTGCTTCAAGAACACTGCGAGTGTACACTGTTGATTAATACTGAACAAAAAATGCGAAGTTATTATTAATGAACAATTAAAATAATTTGAAAAGAACAAGTTAGTACACCAGCAAGGTACTTGCATCGGACGGAGTATGTCTCAGGGAGCATAGGCCTTTGTTTTTAGCAAATTTACTTATTGAAAAACATACAATGGAAACTTTAAAAATGAATATAAATCAAGTGCGTTTGTAACAGCACCGGAACACTGTAATGGCTTGATGCTCCTTGAGATGATCATTAATTGATAAGTGAGCCAGCCAACTGTAAGATCCGAGACAATCACACAATCTTGGCATCTCCTCATTCCTCAACTTGCACGGCAATAAAACGTGCAACATTTCTAAGATTTTTGTTAGAGCTTCGCTTAGTTTTAACAAAATTTTACTAGCCATCCCTTGATGGCAAATTATGAAGATTAGGCAGACCAAAGTTGAGGCAATGTGAGTGTCTACAATTGGCCCAAAAAATCAGCACGACACTGCCAGGCCCACCTTGTGGGTCGAGAGACATTAATGAAAGTACTTAAGAGTTTCAAATATTTTTCACCTTGAGTAATGAAGAATATTACTTAAGAAACCTTAAGGGGTAATAAGCAGATAAGATTTAAATAAATTCGCACAAGTACTAAGCCAGGCAGTGACGGCTGGTAAACATCCTTGTGGATTTAGAGAAACAGAAGGAGGAGCGATGTCTTTCCATTGTATTAGAGTAAACTGAGCTGATAAAAGGACATCGTAAGGGGCCAGCTCACCGTTGATCAGGAGTGACGACACCGCCGCAGCTAGCAGACCCGGCGGCTTCTTGGCAGGCTGGCACGGCAAAGACGGTGACGCCGGAGCATCGCCTGACCTGCAAATCTGTTCTTTTAGAATCAAAGCGCACTTGATCGTGTTTTGAACACTTACTCCTTGATATTCAATAAAACTCTTACAAACGTCCAACTGTTACAAACCATATTAACATACCTGCACTCCTAAAACACAACCATATCCAATTTTAAGGCGTATTTAGCGAACGAAACCTAAATCATCATCAAAGCAGGCTGAGAGGTAATCGCCAATTGTAATGATTGATTTTTTTTCACAATATGCTTTACTGTTAAGGGTTGCCAAGATAGTTGTCAAAATGAATACTTGTCGAAATAATGCGTAAAATGCAGAAAAAGAGAATTATACTAAGCAATTGATATGAAAAAGTAGTATTTAGAAAGAAATCTTGCCTCAAAGAGATTCTGATTACACTGAGAATGATTATGTAAGGATCAAGCCATTTCTAGCTAACCCTAGGGAAATATTTGCCTCCGTAGTCTTAGTCTGTGTTCATTAGCCGGCCATCAGCCACTCTTGCTCTGGCCGCCAGCGCCATAGGTTAGTAACTAATAATGTTCTCTTGATAGGAAATCTTCATTTGTCTTGCCTGTGAATATTATGTTCTGTACCTTTGAAACGTTTAAGGGGCCATGCTGATCTCTCTTGTATCCATTCCAGTTCCGGTTGGGGAGACTGTCTACTATCTGACACACCAGTGACCCGAGTTAACAGCAAGACTATCACAGCAGTGTTATCAAGTAGGCCTATGGAACTACCAGTCGTCTGTGCCTCTATCCGCCATCTGTGAACCAGTCGTGTGGGCTACTTCCAGTCGTCCGTATCTCTACCGTCAGTCGTCCGTACGTGGCTCTACCTCCAGTCGTCCGTAACCCTACCGTCAGTCGTCCGTAACCCTAACGTCAGTCTTCCATAACTGTACCGTCAGTCGTCTGGGATTCTCTCGTCGGCTAACTGCATTCCCTCCCCGGATCTTGCCTTGTTCCTAAGTTAAGATGTCGATTCGTTTATATCTCATTAAATTTATTGTGTGATGCGTCCACTATTACCCACCGGTTCGACTGATGCCGTTTAGCCTCTTCGATACCCTTACAGATTAACTGTACCATAAGCAAAGCTACACTGACAATGGCACTGCAGTGAAAGATGTCAAATTTACTTACGTGCAGAGCGGCGCTGCTTGCGAGACGGTGTCATCATGTGCCGTTGAGATCAGACCATCTTCAGCGGGCTCTGAGACGACGGCTGCTGGAGACCTCGAGCGATCCATGGAGGGTGAGTGGTCCTTACTGAGGGGCTGTGGAGTGCGGGGCGATGGGGGGGAGGACGGGGGGCACGACGAAGCAGGACGAGGGGACAAGGTAGGAGACGAGGGGAGTGGTGATGGGGGAGGAGGGGGAGAAGTGGTGGCGGCCATCATGAGTGCAGCAATCTCAGGAGGCAGTTGGGGACCTGTGAAACAATGGTTGGTTCAATAAGGTATTTCTTTGGGTACAAGAAAGTATAACTGTTACCTAGAATTTGTTTCAAAAGATCAATTACCCCGAATTTGTTTAAATAGAACTCTTATCTAGAATTTGTGAACAAGTAATGCGCGTACCAAAATTTCAAGAAAACATCCATTTATACATTTCAAATGGAAACTGCATATAACACGATAGAAAATAAAAATATATAGAACTTTCTAACGCTCATTATAATCAAAATTATTTTTGCAAGGCAATTACAGGAAATTTATATAGTACACTCAGAAAATGAATGGCTCATATTGTCCAAGTACTGACATAATTTTGGCACATGGTACTGCCACGTCCTTTCACCAGGCCACACTGGGTCAGGATGCCCCACAGAGAGGAACAAAGTGCACCGATGTTCGGACATAGTCTCACTAATTTCTCTGAGTTTATACGATTCTAGCATACTTTCAGTCACACAACAAGAGCCCACCGATCATTGGAGGGGCAGGAGGGTTGGCGGGGTCCACCTTGAGCTTGGATATGAAGGCATGCGCGGCCGCCTTGCGCTTACGCCGCTTCTCTGAGGGCTTGGCAGGGGCAGCGGCTGCCTCCTGCGCGTCGCATGAGTCGCCGTACTCGTCAGCGCCGCGGTTTTCTTGAGCTATTGTGGATAAGTTATTTAATATAAATTCATTACCGAGTATTAAAACAATCTAATTTGAAAGACATCATTATCAGTAATTGAACTTTATTTCGGCTGTAAAGATAATATACTTGCAGAAATACAGTGATGCGTGCATCATAAGTGACTGTGAATAACATCATGATTAACAGTCTCACCATATTTGAAGATGTCATACATTTCCTCATCAGCCGATGAATTCTCCTCATCTTCTTGCATGGCTTTCGGCCGTTCATACTCATCATAATTTTTCATGGCTGCACGTTTTGCCTCCTCAGCACGTTTCTTTTCCAGCTCTTCCTCCCTGAGTTTGCGCTCCTTCTTCTCCTGCTCGAACTGCTCACGCTTCATCTGACGCCAGCGACGGCGTTCCTGACGAAGTTCTTGGCGCTTCTGTTGCTCCTCGGCATCAAGATTCTCTAGATCTTCTTCACTGGAACTAGACTCGAGCGGGAAGCTGGTAGGGGGCAGAGTAACTTCCTGGTCCTTACGCTGCTTCAGTTTGAAGCTGATGGTGGGAGGACTGCTGACACAGTCACTGCCAGCCATGGATTTAGATGCTGCTATAACAGTCTTCATGTCCCTGGTGCTCTGCAACAAGTAAATGGATCAGAGGGCCAGGAATTTCAAACATAACAAACATCAAACCATTTCATTCATAATAATATGGGTCTAAAGAAATGAACAATCTCATGCACAATAATACAAAGTTAATAAATGAAACTAAACTCAATTTACGATGCAATTAAGAAATATTAGCTTACTTCAGAACGCTTGGAGGCGCTTTTGCTGAGATGCTCCCCAAATATTTCAGCAAAAAGAGATTTTTTCAGTTCAAAATATTTGTTGTAGTCGTTACCAGTTTTGAGGAAATCAAAACGAGGATCACCTGTAAAGGAATTAATGTAAAAATCATTTTATTCTCAATTTAAAAAAATATATTAGCAACATCACCTTACAATCTTAGGAATAGCCGGCAGTGAAGAATGTCAAGTAAGATTAGAATAAATCATCTATGCAATGAAAGAAAACTCACCTCTACTTTTGATGGTTTGTTCAAACCTAGATCCGTTTTTGACAATATAGCACGCAATTTTATCTATGACCATTTGGTCTCTGTTAGAAGGCCATTTGACAGCATCGTAACTGTCGATGACATTGCTCACTTCACCATCTTTCTTCAAAGAGCTATTTCGTTTACCAAGACAACTCTTGTCCTTGTTTTTTGTGACTTTAGGTTGAATATCTCCGTTTTGAGGTGCAGGAGTTACTGGAGAATGAGAATCTGAATCAGAGTAACTGTAATCACTTTCATCTGCCTGATTAAATGAAGGATAATCAACGAGTCCAGCAAATGGCTTGTTCGGGGCTACTGTTTTATCAGCAGCAGTAGGCTGGACGCACGGTGACGACGGGACAGCAAGAGGAGCTTGAGCCACGCTCTGTATACTTGCTTTACTCTTTTCTGTCTGTTGAGAGATGGCATCCGCGGCACTAGCTTGTGAGTTTGCTTGTTTAGCCTGATTTTCTTTAATTTTACTAATGAGCTTAGAATAAGAACAATCAGAGAATGTGGTAACTTTTCTGCTGGGAGTTGCAGCGTCGGGCGCTGCATCTGCTGATGGATTAAAACTGGCAGCAGGCGCATCTTCCACTGGATCTTCATCTTGCTGTTCTTCAACATACCTAGAAACGAGAAGTTTTCACAATATTGTAACTATATTCACAAGGACCACGAAAAATACTTTGTTACATTGACATAATTTTTATGCAAATCTAGCTACATATTTTGAGCTAAGCTTTCAGTTTCTTGTTTTAACAATGATTCATTGGTCAATAAAAAAAAAAATTTTAAATGATTTGTCTTTCAAATTGCTTTTTGATTGAAAAATAAATGAATTATATATCAGGATGAAATCCTTGCCTTTTATGCCAGGATGCCATCTAAACAAGAAATAAAAGTAAATACTGATGAGCACAAAAAGCTGCCATGCGGCAACAAAACTTCTAATTACCTGCCACTCTTCATGAGCCCCACAATATGCTTGTAGTAGGCATTGAGGCTGTTGTCAAATGACATGAAGCCAAAAAGAGCATTGCCAGTTTGTTTGGTCTTCAGGATGATCTCCATCTGAGAGCCTTGCTTAGCAATGAACCCTGCTGTCTTCACTATGATCTTGTGTTGTTTCAGGCTTGTTGGCTGAAAAAAATTATTTTTTCAATTTTAAGCAGAAAATTGTACTTCACACATCAATCAATTCAGAAAAAGCCTCCCATAAAACTTTAATTTTGAAAAACTTCCATGAAAATCCTGAACTAGCAGAATTTTTGCATTTTTTCTTGCTCTCTATTAATTATACCACAAATTTATGTCTCATAGCAAATTATGTGAATATAAAAGAAGAAAGAATCCATTATTTGACTATTATCTAAGAAAAGGAATATCAATTAAGCGCATCAATATCAAAGAAGCATACGGTGGAATCCGAATAACTGACAAATATAATGGGATAAGAACTTACAACAACAATTCCTGGTGGCAGTGACAGAGAAGAAGGTGGAGTAAATTTGTCATGAGGTTTGTTCTGCAATGGTACTGACACCACTGTATCAAGTGCTGGTTGTGGAACATTGCTTGTTTGAGAAGAATCATCAGCAGTGTCAGGAACAGCCATTGGAAAACCATCATAAGAGTACCCAACTTGGCTGAAACTTGATGTGCCATGAGCTAGCTCCATTTGCAGTCGCTTACTTTCTTCCTCTGAAGAGAAAACTCTTCCTTAGATTCTAACCACAATCAGGCAATAAGACTGATATCATGATTACTTAGATGGATTCTATACACAATCAGGCAATGAGAGTTACCTATATCATGATTACTCAGATGGATCCAAAACACAATCCCGCAATAAGAGTTATATCATAATTTTTAAAAACAATACAAGCATAGTTTAGCACTTGTTTGCAACATAAAACTATGATTAATTCAATAGGATAATAAATCAGTAGGTAAAGTCGTTAGTAAACTGTAAATACAAGTTGTGTAGTAGAAAAATAAATCGTTTGCTCTTTGTTATTTTTTAGCTCAAAGACTCGAGATTTTAATCTATGGACTATGAAAAATAGCATGTATATTATTTATCAATAGGAATATGACAATTTTAAAAAAGATTGTGATAATGTTTAATTTCGTGGCATTGCAAATAACACATTTCCTACCTATATACTGTCACAATGAGTAACTAGTAAGAACATATTTTGTTGATTCAAATCATGCAAATGACGGATTTGAGAACTCATACCTTCTTTTTCAGCAATGACGTCAAGATCATAGTACAGAGCCACGTATCTCTCATACTTGCACAGCTCTTCTTCCTTGAGCTCAACTTCAGTGAGTACAGCTGGTGGACCACTGGAAGCAGCAGCTCCTAGATCATATAAAGCTCCTCGAACATCATACCTGCAATATTAAATAAATCAGTTATGTCCTTGGAAAATAAAATCCTGCAAATATCCAAGTTTTAATAATGATAAATCACAAGAAAAAATTCATAATTTGAAGATACTTGAGTATAAAGCACCACAAACATCATACCTGCAATATTAAATAAATCAGTTACATCCTCGGAAAATAAAATCCTGGAAATATCACAGTTTAAATAATGATAAATTATAAGAAAAAATTCATAATTTGAACATACTTGAGGTCACTGAAAACTTTTTAATGCATAGCGAATTAAGACTGTCACTCACCTGTCAATCATCATAGTAGTGTCACCCATCCAGGGAATGAGATGGCTCCCACTTTCAATAAATTGAGCTTTTTCATCATCCCTAAATAATTTACAAGAATAACCAAAGACAAGAAGTTCTTCCGGTACACTCAAAGCAGCTTTTACTATATTTGCCATAATTTAATCAGTTGCAGCTGGACATCAGAATGATACATCCAAAATCATTACCTATTGAATATACCTATCACTTTAACTATCAATGGCCTGCAAGTGAGAAATAAAAAGTTGTGTGAGCAACAGTTAACCACACTTTAACAAACAATGAATTACAAATAACTGTAGTTAATTCAAAATAAATCATAATCTTAACTCTGAAATACATTAAATCTGATTTTTCTTAACCCACTAGGCACTAGGGCAAGGTGGAATTCAGGAGGGGTAAAATATTCTTTTTAGAAGTTTACATATGTTGGATCAAAAATTCTGAAAGTACATTTTCTTTTTCCTTTTTGGCTGATATTTTGAAACTGATCATGTACCCAGGTTGGATCAATCATGAAAATATGAGCCACCATTCTTAGAATTCCACCCTGCATTGGTGTGAAATGCAGCCAACACAACATCTACTCTCAAAGCAACAACTTAATTTTAAAGCCACAAGTTTATTGGCAACATGGAGACTTTGCTCTTCATGTGCTGAATCTAATGACTTGGAAAATGGTGAAAGAGCTATAATTGCATCTTGGAAAGTGGATATATTTAGGGTGGTATTCTAACCCATCTGTAAAAAATCACAGGTGATTATTAGAAATATCATGCATATATGTGCTATTATTCTTACTTTTCACAAAAAAAAAGTAGGGACAGGCTACACAAGGGGGAGAAATTATATGCAGGTACCAGCATTCTTGTATCAACCATGGGTGGCTCCTGCCCAATTTTATAGTTTTAATGTTCTATTTCTTCCAGGAATGGTAGGTTATTTACTCAAGATTACAGGGTCATCAATATTTAGCGTTACATTGTTTTTTCAAAATCGATACACTCGCAAAAGAGTCAAATGTGTCATATGGAACCATGTCGACTGTTCTCCGGAAGGACCTAAAATTGTCCCCCATTGAAGCCTGTCAAAAAACACCAACTGTCAGCTCAAGTTGTTGACAAACGCCTCCAAAGATCCAAGATTCTTCTTTCCTGCATTCATGATGGCACACCGCTGAACCTTGTTTACAGTGATGAGAGATATTCAATGTTGAACACTACTTCAACAGATGATCAAAATGATCAAATTTGGTCAAAGAATTGGACGAAGGATCCTGTGTGGTGACTAGGAAGTAATGCCTGACCTCAGTGATGGTCTGGGCAGCCATAACAGAGCCCTCAAGGGGACCCCTCTTTTTTGTTGACAAAGAGGTGAAATTGAATCAGAACTATCGAGATGCCATCCTTGTTGGTGCATTGTTGCCCTGGGCACAAAAGCACTTCAAAAAACGTCCCTGGTCGTTCCAGCAGGACTCTGCACCATCCCATGGGGCCAAATTGACTCAGGAGTGGCTGTCAAGAATGTTCCAACTTCATTACCAAAGATGAATGGCCCCCATCCTCACCTGATCTGAATCCTCTGGATTTTAAGATCTGGTCATACCTTGAGAGCAAGGTCTCGACCCTTCACCATAGCAGTTTGGATGCCCTAAAGGTCAAACTGCTGAAGGAGTGGCCAAAATCCCGCTAAGTGTCATTCGTGACTTGTGTAAGGCTTTCTCTAAGCATCTAGAACTCGTTAATGATGCAGATGGTGAATGTATTGAATGAAATTGTGGGAATTGTATCTCTGAACCTCTGCCTACATAAATACATTTTCAAACATTCACAATTGCGTTTCATTTCCTAGTTCTAACCACTCAAAGTTGTAATGCTAAATATTGATGACCCTGTATTTCAGTTCCAGGCAAGAAACTTTATCAGTTCCAAAATATGAACTCAATATCAAAGGTAAGTTTGATCCCAGATTTTTAGATCAATATTTGTGCATATGCTCAGTTCAAACCAATCTGGGTATCACTCCTATAAATAAGAATTTAAAAAATTGCAGGTAAAAACTTTTGCTTTAAGTGCAATTTTTGAGAATCTTTGGACAAAATGTGCCATTGCTATCTCTATGAAAAATCTAGTCTAGACCAGGGCTATAAAACAGGCAAAGTTGACTGCAAGCTACTGAGGAAAATATCTACTCTCCAAGCCACAACTTGATTTTTAGAAATGTGAATTTTAATGTTTGTGAGCCATGAGTCAATTTTTTGAGCCGTGAATTGCTTTTCCAGGCTGTGGAAAGCCATTTTTAGCACTGCAAACTCATTTGCCAAACTGCAAGGTGGTGGCATTTTTTATCCATTCATGGTGAGGACTGGAGGTGGTGGTTGTGTTTATCTATTCACCCAGTAAAAAAGGTTAATAGTCTGCAAAAAATATTTTGGGTGCAGTCATTGTGCACTATAATGTGCAGGATAATATAGCATCTGTATGGTATTGAATTGCTGAAGTCATGAAATAACACACATGTGGACCATGATATCTTTGATCAAACAAAAATACATGACTTTGGGGCTGAAAGATTCAATACCTACCAAAATTCTGAAATGTTTGATCCACAATGTTTCAGAAAAGAAAAGTAGGATTTTCTAATTGTGACTGCCAGTGAGGGATTCTCATCTTATTCACAGGTGGTTTCACTCTTCACTCAGCAAAATTTCTCAGGGTAAGAATAGCTCTCCAATTGATTCACTATTTCACTACACTGCATGTCTGCATAGTGGCAAATGAAGGAGTTGTTAGACTTGGTACAGTTCAAGTTAGCTGATTCTGGTTCAAAATTTTGTTGACTATCATAATCCTATAGGAGTAATTAATAAGAATGCTAACAACATTAATAAACATCAACAAAAACTCTTGCTTTCCAGTATGCTGCTTTACAGTTTTCCAACCTAAAAAGATTGTGCCACTCAGAGTGAGAATGGCAAAGAAGAGGTAACCTTCCCTATAAGTATAGGGTGAAAAAATAATTTGAAACATACAACTAGTTTCTTTCATAGTATATTGATTGAATTTTGAACTAGATCAAAATAACTAATTATGAAATGATTTTAAGAAATCTCTAGTTTGCCACTATATATGTGCCTGGTGTCATTCAAGTCAGGGGCATAGTCATAGTGAACCTTTTGTTTATTGCTAGGATTGATGGAATAATAAACTAGAAAATTTGAAATGCATGGATAATTTCTCTGAAAGTGCTTTGATCAAAACTCAAGCAAGAAAATTTTTTTTAATAACCAATTAAACTGGTTTCAACAGGACAGTCAGAACTTGTGGTGTCAGAACTCAGAAGCACCTCAATTATCTCTGTCAGACTGTCAACTTGTCAAAGAGAAAAAGTAGAGCCCCATACTTGGTCCTTCAGTATTTGCAAAATTGGTAGTTACTACAGTACCGGTACTTTGCAAGATTATTTATTATAATGCATCAGGCAGTGATACACTGATGTGCCTGATCCCACATGACTGCAGCTTGCAGCAGCAGAGCTCACAAGTTAGCAATAATGTTAAACCATTTAAACCAACCTTGGTGTTTTTGACGAGTCAAAGGTGAAGGTGAAGAAGTTAGATTTTAGTATGTACCTGTGTGTAAAAAAAACTGAGAAGTGTAGACAGGTGCCAGCCAGGCTTGGCCTTGTCAATCATACACAAGATATTAATTTAAATCTCGAGTCATGGTAACAAACCAGAGATTTTTTAGAATCAGTTCATTTTTAATTACCTCATTTACTCAGGATTTAAGCAAATATCTTATGTATGATAATGATGATATAGATGATACTGATACTTACTGCCTACTGGTCTACTTATATGACTGAAAAATTAGCATGAGGCATATGGTGGCATTCTAAATGACCAAGTACCTTTTTAATGACCATTTAGGAGCTTGCCAGCCAAAATAGGAGTGCACGTCCTGGCAGACTGTACTACAGTGCTTCAACAAGAAAATCACTGCCATTTCCACCACATTTACCACTCTCCTTGTACCTTCAAACTGCACACCCCCCTCCCCCAGCTGTGAAGGTGGAGCTAAGTGACTGTCCACATCCTGGAATTCCACCAGGATTGAAGAAGGGCAAAAAAATTCTCTGCTTTGCCACTACCTAAGTGGAAATAATGCAACTTCAGACAGATTTGTATACGTTAGTTAATGAACTCTGCAGATGGCTCAGTCTGCAAAAAATTGCCACTAATTCCACAGGATGCACAAAATAAGTAATTATTTAAAATCTAATTCTGCAGCCCAATCAAAAAAGTTAATTACATTTGAAGTTAGAAGCATGAAGCCAGGAAAATTTGTCAGATGAATGCCAGGCGCATTAAAGAACAGTAGCTACCAAAACAGGAACAGTGTTCATGCTCATCAACCATCATATTGCTCAAGAAACAAATACAAGGTGAGATGCAATAAAATTTGTGTGTGAATACCAACCACAGAGCCCTGGCTCACCAAATATGAGAGGGTGTGTTGTTGTTGTTTCTTGCGCCAAACGTCACGCTTGTGTGGGCGGAGACTCTGGTAGTGGTCGGAGCGGTGGCACCGGAAGAGGGGGAAGATGGGCCAGGAACATCGACGCCTCCATGGGGTTGTCCCACAATGATGAGACGCTGAGGGACATGGGGAAGGTGGGGCAGGCAAAGAGGTGCTGGACAGATTGGAGGGGATTCCCACACTCTGGGCAAATGGCGCTAAGGGAGCGTCCAACCCTGTGGGTGTAGGACGGGTGTGTAATGAGCAGGGTTGGTGATTTTTTTTACTTTTTCAAAAATAAAAAAAAATAAATCAATTATTTTTTTATTTTAATGATTTTTTTTATTTATTTGATTTTTTCTATTTTTTTCAGCTTTTTTGTCTTTTTGAAGTGTTATTTTTTATGTTGCAATTAGCCTACTAACAATAACAGTATACGGATCATAATGGAAGGCTAAAAAGGGCACTTATTGCCTTCAATAATGGCCAACAGGCCATGGTGGTGTTTACGACTTAGGTAGGGATTTTTGGGTAAACAATTATTGATAAGTCTATTCATTTATTATATCGCATCAATAATACAGTAATCAATGTATATGGTAATATCATATCAATAAAGGAAAAACTAGTAAAAATCACAGAAAATGTCATTTATTCTACCTCTACATCATCTACAATGAAAAAGGAGGACTTCAGAGTACTGTTAGTAATGGATGAGTACACTTTGCATGCTTCAAACTTTCTACAATAAAAGACGAGGCCTTCAGAGTACTGTTAGTAATGGATGAGTACACTTTGCATGCTTCAAATATTTTAAAATGAAGTGTTATTCCAAGTGTCCTGAGTAGCCCCATTTGATGGGGCTACTCGGGACACTCTTTTTTTGCTTCTGGCACCTTACGAATAGCATATGGAATTTTTTTGAAGATGCCATTCTATAGCCCTCATAAGCTATAAAATGAGCCTAAACTTGTTTATGAAATGTTTCATGATAAGAAGTTATCAACAAAAAACGCTCAAAACCATCCCGAGTAGCCCCGGTTGACGGTACACTCTGCATGCTTCAAATGTTTGAAATTGAGTTTTATTTCAAGTGTCCCTTTTTACCCCATTTTGAGATTAATTCAGGAGCCTTTTATTTTGCGTCTAGTGCCTTACAAATAGCATATGGAATTTTTTTGAAGATGCCATTCGATATCTCTTGCAAAAAGCTATAAAATGAGCCTAAACTTGTTTCTGAAATGTTTCATGGTAAGAAGTTATCAACAAAAAACGCTCACAACCTTCCTTTTCTACCCCGTTTGATGGTAGTGACAGGAAGAGATCTGTGCGCAATGTGGTAAACAAACTGCTGAGTTAGCGGGCATCTTGTAAATAAAGTGAATATGAGTATGGGCAACCCAACCATGGGTCAGAAAGGCCACTGGCCACTCTCTATTCTCATTGGTCTCCTTGCAATCTATAACTCGCACGCAAGGTTTTTTGCCATTGTCATCACCACTCACAAAAGATGTTCTCTTATGCTTGCTATCTCCACTCACAAAAGAGGTTCTCTTATGCTTGCCATCTCCACTCACAAAAGAGGTTCTCTTATGCTTGCCATCTCCATTCACAAACAAGCCACTCTTACACTTGGCATCTCCAGTTCTCCACTCACAAACAAGCCACTCTTATGCTTGGCATCTCTACTCACAAAAAAGCCACTCTTACACTTGGCATCTCCACTCACAAACAAGTCACTCTTACGCTTGGCATCTCCACTCACAAACAAGCCACTCTTATGCTTAGCATCTCCACTCACAAACAAGCCACTCTTACGCTTGGCATCTCCACTCATAACAAGCCACTCTTACGCTTGGCATCTCCACTCACAAACAAGCCACTCTTACGCTTGGCATCTCTACTCACAACAAGCCACTCTTACGCTTGGCATCTCTACTCACAACAAGCCACTCTTACGCTTGGCATCTCCACTCACAATCAAGCCACTCTTATGCTTGCTGCTTGGCATCTCTACTCACAACAAGCCACTCTTGAGCTTGGCATCTCCACTCACAATCAAGCCACTCTTATGCTTGCTGCTTGGCATCTCTACTCACAACAAGCCATTCTTAAGCTTGACATCTCCACTCAGTGCACTCACAAACGAGCCATTCTCATGCTTGCCATCTCCACTCGTGCAAGAGGTTCTGTTACACCTGTACTCCTCCCTATTTGTACGAGGTACGAATTATTTATACGAATTACTTTGTGGGAATATGTAGTGAAGAATTCCATTTTCAATGCTAATTGCATTGTAGTTCAGTTAAGTTACGTGTAAGGGCCCGACATATGCCTGTGCTTATCTCTGATATTTAATCAAAAAGTCAAGTCATTCTTCAACAGAATAATAATTTGAATTGGCATTAGTTGTCATGCATTAATGTTATTAATTGTGTCACTTTTTTCAATAAATATGTACCGTAAAATGGGGTTACTTTGACCGGCGGTGTAACTTTGACCACTTTTCGTTTTTTTAACAAAAACCCCCAAAACTCAAAAACGATTTGACATAGAAAAATTTTGTCAATGGCCATCAAAGGCCTAATACTGAGGCTACGTAACACAATAGAAAGATTTAAAAAGTTTGCATATCTAATAGGTTAAAAAATTAAAAATGTGACCCACAAAAAAGAGCTATTATTTAAAGCCTGTCGGAGTACCCCCTCCAATTTTTTCATTTCTTGGTAAAATAACTCCAGGTTTTGATGCATTGTAGTAGAACTCTTCTAGTTACATATGCAAAAGACAAATTTTAGGAAAATGTCATAGTTTGCAAATGGGGTGTGCCACCCCCCAATGGGGTAACTTTGACCACCTAATGGCAGCCATGACAGGGTAACATTGACAGGCTTAGAATTTAAGTTAAAATTACCATAGGTACCTATATAACATATTTTATGTTTGATACACCTATTAATGTTTTTTTCTTTGTTTCAGACTCTACAGAGTCTTATATATGGTAATTTTAACTTAATTTCCAAACCGGTCAATGTTACCCCGTCACGGCTGCCATTAGATGGTCACATTTTGCCCATTTGGGGGCGGCGCCCCCATTTGCAAACTATGACACTTTCCTAAAATTTGTCTTTAGCATATGTAACTAGAAGAGTTCTACTACAATGCACCACAACCTGGAGTTATTTAGAGTTATTTTACCAAAAATAAAATTGATTTTTCTACCCGGTCAAAGAAACCCCAAGAGCTGGGGTAACATAGACCATCACTTTTTACAACACTTCTCTTTAACTTCACTTCTTGTCTGTCTGTCTGTCTGTCTGTCTGACCGGTTTTTACACATAAATAAGTACTAGCGTCAATTACCGGACTCGATTTTTGTCCGGTTTTGTACCCGATGTCCGGTAATGTTACGAATTGTAATTAATTTTGTCCGGTAATTGTACGAACCATGTTAATATATATATATATATATATATATAATCAAAATGATTATGTAAGGAGTAACATTTGGATCTAATAAGAACATGGATTGTAATGTGTTTAATCTAAATTTGTACAATTAGTTGATCATTAAGATACATTTTTACTTACTCTATAGAAATTTCTAATCAAATAATTTTGTTTATTGCAATTTTGTTCATTAGAAAACAAACTAAATACTATTTTCTCAGGTTTTATGACACCACCACTTTGCTTAACACAATCCATGTCCAAACAAACGTGCAAAGACAAGTGTGGAAAACATCTCCCTTTACTGCTTTGGGGCCATGACTAAAGCTTTACCGCCATTTCCGGACATGCAAGATAACCACCAGATGAATTACCTCCTACCTATTTAATTGTTAACAAAAGTGTACTTGTGCACTATCAGGCCAAAAGATTCCAAATGACCAAAAGTATTTAAAATTTGTCATGTTTGAGCCACAAGATTTCAGAAACAAGTAGGAAAATTTCAATCTGGTGGCCCCTAGTGACAAAGCAGAGTTTTTTAGACTCTTCCTCAAGTTCACTTTTGAGTCCTATAAGTAAACCAGTAAAGTAGGCTATCATGGATATTGTCAGTCTTCGGCCAACTATTTAGAAAAAGTAAGGTTTCCGGTATGTTAGATGGATCAGGATGCAGTAAAGCTTGTCCGGAAATTGGTTGCGATGAGTTCCTGCCAAAAAAATGTAAAAAAAGTGTAGTTGCGGTCTCATTAGAGCGGTCAGACTGCATCATCACATGTTCAGTTGACACTTGCTGTACAATCGGGTTGTTTTTAGGGTAAAATTAGTTATTTGGGGTAACACGTGCATGGCTGCATGCAACCTTGTAAATAAGTTATTGGCTTGTAAATAGTTTTTCATTACTCAGCGTAAATGGCTTTTCATTAAAAATTACCCGGCAACGCATTTTGAAAATGGTCGGCAACGCTTTGGGCTTAAAAACCCATATATTGGATTATTGGCGACACTGCTTCCAAGTTCCACCTTCTGCACCCTGGACCGGTGCAAAGACAAAGTTAAATGTTTGCAATTGCACGTTTGTCACAACTCACAATGACAAGGTTAACATTAAAAACGTAATTCTTAGCATGGATTTTTTATGTTCTGATTTATGTTATTTTAAATTGGTAATTCTAACAAAAAGTATCATATCCAAATGTAACTATATTTCAAGAACTCAGTCTTGACTGAACCACCTCTGCCTCCTGCCTGTGCCCTGTACCTACATCATTATTCATTAGGTACCTTAAATTTTCTGTCAGGTGCCACTGTGTCTTGACTCTTGAGTAGATAAGGAAATTTTAAAAAATTATTCTAGGGTAAACGCGGTATATTCCGTCACATTAAGGATGCATCGAGAAATGAAAAACTATAAAAAAATAACCGTATGCGTTACTCAAGTTCTGTTTGCTTTAGGTGACTCTCAAAACACCGTAGTACGCGTCGGCTATAACTATAAGTAGACCAGGAAAGTATCTTGGATACCAGCATTTTCATACATAAGAAACTAATTAAAATATTGAGTAGATAACATACCGTAAAATGGGGTAACTTTGACCACTTTTTTTTTCAAGACAATGCCATTTTTTTACTAGATAAGGTAAACTTAAATTGAAACATGCAAAATACAGGTCTATACTCTACTCTAGCTTTACTCACCATAAATTGCTGGCTCCTGCCTCTCATAGTTTTGATGTAATTTCAAAATAATATACGTTTAAAAATTACGTTTTAAAGACAACACTTCTAAAGAACCCAGTGTCTCCAATGTTAAAGATAAACAATGAATTTCTCAT